AGCATAATTGATCATCTTATAATATTGCTATTATGCTGTACAAATGTTTATCTAGTTCTGCTCACTTATTCAGCATCAGTTCATGTAAATATTTCCAGGTTTTTCTGAAATCTGCCTACTTATCATTTCTTATAGCACAGTAGTGTTCCATTATGTTCCTATACTATAACTTGTTCAGCCATTCCCCAATTGAGGGTCATCCCCTCAATTTCCAATTCTTTGCCACCACATAAAGAGCTGCTATACGTATTTTTGTACATGTAGATCTGTTCCCTTTTTTTTCTGATCTCTTTGGGATACAGATCTAAGAGTGGTATTGCCGGACCAAAGGGTATGCACAACTTGATTGTCCCTTGAACAAAGTTCCAAATTGCTCTCCAGAATGGTTAGGTCAGTTCACAACTCTACCAACAATGCATTAGTGTTCCAATTTTCTTACATCTTCTCCAACATTTATCATTTTCCTTTTCTGTCATATTAGTCAGTCTGATAGGTATGAGGTGATACCTCAGAGTTGTTTCAATTTGCATTTCTTTAATCAGTAGTAATTTAGAGCATTTTTTTGTATGGCTGTAGATAGCTTTGATTTCTTCATCTGAAAACTACCTGTTCATATTCTTTGACTATTTATCAGTTGGAGAATGACTCATGTTCTTATAGATTTGACTTATTTTGCTTTATTTTTGAGAAATGAGGACTTTATCAGAAACACTTGATGTAAAAATTGTTTCCCATCTTTTTGCTTTCCTTCTGATGTTGGTTGTATTGGTTTTGCTTGTGCAAAAGCTTTTTAATTTTATGTAATCAAAATTATCCATTTTTAAAATCCTTTTTGAGCTCTTCTAAGCGGACCTTTTGGGCTTGAGATCAGCTCATGTTCCCTTTGAGGCTTCACATGTAAGCATTTTGTCATTGTTGTCCTCTTCAGAATTCATGTTTGCATCTTCCCTGTCACCATAGTGACACCATTTTTTTTTTCCTCGCTCATTTTTTTAAAAAGTTGATCTCTGCTCCTGGTGTACAGGGGTACTGTCTCAAGCTTCTTGCCCTGGGGGCCAGGAGCCTGGTCACTGGCTTTCTGCACCAGGGCCTTAGGGATCGGTGGCTTGCCCACTGTGCTAGGGTGGCCGGGCCTAGTTGAGCCTGTTATGCCCCAGGTTCCAGGGTTGGCTGTTTGCCTGCTGCACTGGGGCTAGAGGTCTCACAGCTGGCCTGCTGAGCCAGGGCCACAGGGCCTAGGGTGCTGATCTGTGCTGTGGCTCTCCTGAAGTCCTTCTAAGTTACCTTGGGCTAGAAAATTGTTTTACTGTCTTTCTGTGGCTTCTGTCGCCCTAGAATTCTTTCAGAGGCTTAATTTAATGTTGTTAACCTTCTTGATTTCCAAACCATGCTGTGAGCATTCTCTCTGACTATCCTTTCCCCCCTGCCAATGTTCTCCTTACTCCACTCTGACTACTGACTTCCCTGACTTCCTTTAAATACCCACTAAAATCCCACCTCCAGGAAGCCTTCCCCAACCCTTCTTTTTTCTGGTGCTTTCCCTCTGTTAATTGACTTCTTATTTATCCTGTGTATATAGGTTGCTTTTTATATATTTGTTTGCATGTTCTCTTCCCCATTAGATTATAAGCTTCTTGAGGGCAGGGACTGCCTTTTACTTATTTTTGTATCCCCAGCACTGAGCACAGTATCTGGCAAGTAGATACTTAATAAATGTGTATTGACTATTGATATGCTCATGTAAGTATATCTTTTAAGGACTTTATTATGATCTTAATGTGTATAGGGGAGACACCTTGTTTTAGAAGAACTTTTAGGCTATATTTTGCTTTATTGTTCCAAAAAAAAAAAACATTTTAAAAACAGTCAACAAACAGTAAGCACAACAAGGACTTTAAATTATCCGTGCCTTTTGATCACCTGTGTAATTAAAGATGTCTGCTGTGAAATCCTTTTTGTGAAATAAGACCTACTGTTATCTTCTTATATTTTCATCAGGAATGCCCTAGTACAAGGGTTTGTAACCTGTCATGTGTGGAAGTATATAACTTTCAGGAGAACATTGTCTCTCTTTCACAAAGCAAGTTCTGTGTCTTTCCTCTCTATCGTTCTTTTTATATTCTGAAACTGTATTATATATAGTAGCTAGCATTTATATAGTACTTTAAGGTTTGCAAAGCCTTTTGCAAATATTAATCTCGTTTGACCCTGAACAACGGTCCCGTAAGATAATCGCTGTTATTATCCCCAGGTCACTTGAAGAAACTGAGACTGAGGTGAAGTTGTCCAACAGCCACACTGCTCCTAAGTATATGAGGCAGTTTTTTGAATTCAGATCTTCTTGATTCCAAGGGCAGCAGTCTATCTACTGTGCCACGTAATTGCCCGGCAATAATATGCTCCGTTTGTTCATTCTTATTCACAGCATTCATCTCCAGATGAGGTTTAAACCTCCAGTATTTAAGCTAAGAAGCGAAGTACATAAATACACTCAACTATAGCTTTGTTTTTTTCCCCAGTGATGGTAATTTTTGTAAAGGGAATTTTGGTAAAGGGAAAACTTTAAAGGAGAGAGATGAATCTGTCTTAGCTTTTTTCTTCTAAAATCAAAATACAAAACTAATTTGCATTTTTTCCAGTGTTTTTGTGCAAAATCTTTTCTTCTCTTTATTTTTTGGGGGAGGTAGGGATTGATGTTTGCTTTTCTTCACTGAAGTCTACCTTATTTTCTTAAAGTTCCAAAAGAATTGAAAAATTAAGTCAGTTTTGTTTATAGAGTGTTGGTTTGTCTACTGAGTGCTTATGATAAAACATTATACAAAATTTGATGAACTTCTGTTTTCGACTTACAATTCCCAGAGAAATGTTAGGGGAAAAGAGATTCTTAGACCTAATAATGTAGCTTTCTGCTTACCAAACTGAATCTTGCCTTCTCACTACTGAGACTTGTTTTGTGATTTTTAGGAACCATCAGCTTATTCCTTGGAGCTGCTGGCATTTGGAAGAGTTTAGATTGTAGCTTGTTGGCATATTCTAGAGCATACAACATTGTATATTTGCCGAAAATGCTCTGTTGTATGTATAAAAACAAAATTATTGAGGATTCTTAGAACTATTGGAATTGTCAGCTTTTTGGGTTACTCTGGCACATCTTCCTGTTCCTTATTAGAATTGATTTTTTTGAATTTTATAAACATTAAATTTCTCTTGTAAATTTAAGAAAAGCTTAGTGGAAGACTAACTGGTGTATTTTGAATATCTTAAAAAGTGTCTAATTAGCAGAATAGTTATTGAATGCTGTTACTAATTAAGCAATTCTTTTGAGAAAAAGAATTGAGAATATAACTTGTACTATTATTTTCAAATCATTCAGGTGATTTCTTTTATTGATATTTTATTTTTATATTTGATTTTTATTGAGATTGATATTTTCATTAGTCAAGTTTCAAATGATGTCAATGATTAGAGATTAAAATTGGCTATTGTAATTTTTTTCATAATTTGTTAGGGAATAAAGTAGGGGGAAGTCTGGTAAACAGCCAGCACATTTTATGATCTTAGGAGTTTTACTTGCCAAGAAAATTTGATTGTTAGAGGAAAAATGACAGTGCTGGCAAAAGATGTTCCTTCCCATTCTTTTATAATGCACTTTCCTTTTATCTAAGCAGAGTACTGTTGATGATAATGTAGCAGTGAAAATTTTTTAAGAGTAACCTAATACATCATTTTGACTTAGCCAAAATGAAGAAACTGAAGAGTCTCACTTGAAAAACACATCATAGTGATTTATGGAGGTAATTTGAGAGCTATTCATTTCTACATAATCTACTCAGGCTTTCTTTTTAATGTGTATCATTAGAATACAGAGGCAGTTTTTTGAGTTGCTATATTTTTAGTTAACTCTAGTTCAGTGAATTTTTCTTCCACATGGACTTGAACATATATAAATTCAGAGTTAATAATTTAGATGGTTGCATGCAGTACTAAGAAATCAGTTTTTAAGCAATATGCAGTCTATAGTATACCCCAGATAATAAAATAGCTTCTGTTGTTTCTCCATTTATCTCTGATAAAATATTTTCCATGACCCTTGCTCCTGCTTCCTGTATTTTATCCTTTAAAGTACTATGTTATGACCCTCACTCTTTAACCTACTCCTTTTCTTTTGAATAAAGTATACCTACCTATCCTGAGACATTTTTCATTCATGGGTTTCATCCCACCAAATTTCTGATACTTTTGAAGTTGGGCATTTCTTTGCAGACATTTGAGGCCATGGGTTTTATAAATTTATGAAGTGCTAATATGCATTTTAATTTGAAAGGGAGTGTAGTTTGTAAAGTAAATCTATGATTTCACCACCATGCAGAAAATTTTGACAATTCTTTTTTCTTTATGTTGCTTTCCTGGGCAAGTGTATGGGTCTAAATGTTTTACTTGATTAGCTTAGTCTATAGTGGCAGGATCACTTAATGTGTAAAAGTGATGTTTAAAAGAGAATTGAGCAACCTAGGTTTTCTTCTGATTATATGAATAATACCAAACTATTTTTTTAACACATAATTTATCTGAAAACAGTTATAGAGGTGGTGGTTATTGTTTTTTCCATTTAGCATTAATGGCAAAATGTCTTTGAAAAATGAGGCAGCTGGGTGTCATCGTGGTTAGTTTCATCCTGGAATCAGTACTTTCCTCCCCCATTTAGGAATGCTTTTAATGTTATCATTTTTTTAAAAATTTCCTCAAAGTACACAACATAAAGTGTAGTTAAAGAAAATGTTTTGTAAGGTGGAAAAAATTATTCTTACTACATGAAATCTTCCAAAACAGCTGTCATTTAAGCATCATTACCTTTTGCTTTTTCATAGGAAATGGACTTTTCTGCTCTTTTGATCACTCACTATGGTGTATGTGGTGGTACTTTACTAGTTGTTTTTACATACATGATTTGAGAAATTATATCAAAATATTCAGATTTATCTGTTTCTCTATTCCTTTAGGATTTTTTCCCGTTCCTGGATAAAGATGGCAGCCAATAAAGCAATTCTGAATAGACTGGAACAAAAGGGCGCGGAGGCTGATCAAGTTATTGAATATCTTAAGCAGCAAGTTGCTCTACTAAAGGAGAAAGCAAGTAAGGAAATTTAAAAAAAAATTTCTGAATAGGTGTTTAAAATCAGAATTATGTAGTAAAATGCATATATTGATGGAAGAGAAAAAGATATTATGGATAAGTAACTTCTCAAAAATGACTTGGCTGTACATTTTAATTTGTATTTTGTAATGGCATTTAAGACTAATAGTGGCTCAGAGGTATGTGTTGGTTGCACAACCAATAGAAATATTCCTAGGTGTACACTGAATAATACTGAGCCATCAGTGGGTGAAGATTTAAAATTGCATAATTTTCAGATGAAAGAGTGTGGGTAGGGTTGAGCAAGAGCAGGCGTCTGTCCTTCATTATATGTGGAAAAGGCTACATAGTTTTATGGAAATTTAAGGTAATGTTTGAAGTAAAGAAAAATATTTGATTGATTATTAAATGATATTTTCCTGCTTTAGTCAAGGGAGTTTCCTCACCAACAGTCCCCTACAGCAAAGAAGTCACAGGTCAGGTTCTAAAATAATACCATACTAATAAACAGCAGTGTGTTACAGTGGATAAAGTGCTGGCCATGGAGTCAGGAAGACCAGGGTTCAAGTCCTGTCTTTGATACATGTTATCTGTGAGACCATGGCTAGTCTCTACCCTCTCAGTGCCCCCAGACACCTTTCCAGCACTGTATATTTCAGCTGAAAAATGCATCTGAATCTCTGGGGGTATTTTCCCCACAAATTTGCATCTTTCCTAACAAATCAAATGGCAGTTTAAGATTCTTCTTCTACCCCCAAAAGAATTATACTAAGGTTTCATATATTTATGGAATATTTATAAATTTTATTATTTTCATTGAAATTTCATTGTGTCATGCTAATTTTTTTTTGTCTGAACATAGGATATATTAAAAAGCCTGAAAACTTCAATTTCTTCCCTTAGAAGTTTCTTTTAGGCAAATATTCCCCAAACCCTCTCAAATTGGAATCACTTCATAATATATCCATACTTGCATGTATATATGTATTTTCATGCGTGTGTGAAAATATCACCAAATCATTTAAAAGTCTTTTTCGAGTAACTTTAAAAATTATATATTTAAACTTTTCCCCAGTTTGAAGGTGTCATCTGAAAGATTAACATTACTGTCCATTAAACTTAAATAGTTCTTTTTACAATAATATGATTTAGTTAATATGGCTCCTGTGGTCTCTCAAAATAGTTTTCGTTGTTGTTATTCAGTTGTTTTTCAGTCATGTCTGACTCTTCATGACCCATTTGGGGTTTTCTTGGCAAAGGCACTGGAGTGGTTTGCCATTTCCTTCTCCAATTCATTTTACAGATGAGGAAACTGAGACAGAGTTACGTGACTTAGCCAGGTTCAGACAGGTAGTGTCTGAGGCCAGATTTGAACTCAAGAAGACGAGTCTTCCCGACTCTAGGCCCAGACCTCTAACCGCTATACCACCTAGCAGCCCCTAGTTTTCTAGCCCTAGCTAAAAAACTTAGAAGAAAATAACTATATGGCTTTTAATGTTGGTGAGTATCAGTTTCTTCATTTTTTTAATCTGAGGTTGAGGACAGGAGTGGATTAGAGCATTACTAAGGCTCTGACTCATTCTAAAATGCTGTAATTATGTTTTGAAAGGATGGCTTGATGTCATAAGTGTAGACTTTTCTTCCCCATAGAGATTGTAGGGGTCTACTTGGTTAGATTGGCAGTGTTGTACAGTGGATAGAGTCAGACTCCTGGGCTGGGCAATGATGGGCAAGTCACTTTGGTTTTATGAACCTATGTTTGCTCAGGTCATTTTGTGAATTCACAAAAGCCTTGGCACATGCTGTAAATGGAAAGTCGTTGATAGGGTGGAGCCAAGATGGCAGAGTAAAGTCAGGAAATCACAGAGCTCTCCTAAATTCCCCTCCAAACAACCTTAAAATAATGTCTCAAAACAAATTCTAGAACCACAAAACCAACAAAAAGAGGATGAAACAATTTTTCAGCCCAAGACAGCTTAGAAGGTGAGCAGGAAAAATCTTTCTCACTGGGGTGAGAGTGACGTATAGTCCAGCACAGGCTGGACAGTCCTAGCAAGCCAACACCAGGCCTTTGGGGGGCAACTGAATTTGCAGCAGTTGTTCTTAGCTTGCAGATGGTAAGGGAGTAGGAAAACTGATCAGGAGATTACAGGGGACCTTTTGCTGGTTCTGGATGGAGGACTCTTATATTGCTCATAAGCAGCTCTGAGTCACAGTCCTAGGAGGAGTAGGGGCACTAGCACACAAATCAGCACACCTATCTAACAAAACCGAGTATAACCCTTCGGGAGGAAAAATGGATATTCAATGAAATAGAGGACTTTCAAGGATTCCTGATCAAAGCTGAATAGAAAATTTGACTTTCAAATGCAAGACTCAAGAAAAGTATAAAAAGTTAAACAGGAAAGAGAAATCGTAGGGAATTTAATAAAGTTCAACTGTTTACATTCCCACATGGGAAGATGATACATATAACTCCTAAGAACTTTCTCATTATTAGGGCCTTGAGAAGGAGTGTACATAGACGGCATGAGTATGAGTTGACTATGATGGGTTGATATCCAAAAAAATCAAATTAAGGGATGAGAAAGAGTTATGCACTGGAAGAGGGGGAAAGGGAGAGATAGAATGGGGTAGATTATTTCACATAAAAGAGGCACAAAAGTGTTTTTATAGTGGAGAGGAAGAATGGGGAGTTGATGGGTAACACTTGAACCTTACTCTCTTCAAAATTGGCTCAGGAATGACACTCAGTTGGGTATAAATTTTTCTCTTACTCTATAGGGAAGTAGGAGGGTAGGAGGATAGAAAAGGTGAGGGGGTGGGGAGCAGGGCCCTGATAGGAGGGAAGGCAGATTGGGGTAGGCAGAGGTCAGAACACTAGCACACTGATCACACTTCCAAAGTGGAAGGGAACACTTGTGGTTGCTCACAGAGAAGAGGACAGGCCAGGAGAGCAGTAACCACGCTTCTCCTTAGATCATTCTATCTTGGAAGAACTGAAAAAGAAACTGAGAAGAATCTCTGAAAACAGCAGGACAAAAAATGTGAAGCTTGGGATGATGACTCCTCCACCTAGGAGCAGAGCTCAACTTTAACATAAAATTAAAAGTCAAGAAATAAGCTGGGAAATGAGCAAACAGTTTAAAAAAAAAAAACCTGACCATAGAAAATTACTATGGTGACAGGGAAGGTGAAAACACAAACTTAGAAGAAAAGAAAGTCAAAACTGGCACACCCAAAGCCTTAGAGAAAAATGTGAATTGATTTTAGGCTCAAAAAGAATTCCTAGAAGTGATCAAAAAGGATTTTAAAAATCGAAGAAGAGGAAAAAATGGGAAAAGAAATGATGGTGATGCATGAAAATAATGGAAAAAAGTGTCAATAGTTTCATAAAGAAGATATAAAAATTCACTAAAGAGAACTTAAAAACAAGAATTGGCCAAATAGAAAAAGATATACAAAAATTCACTGAAGATAAGAACTCTTTAATATTAGGATTGGTCAGATGTTCAGAAATTCCCTGAAGAAAATAACTTTAAAAAATTAGAATTGGATAAGTGGAAGCTAATGACTCCATGAGCTATCAAGAAACAACAGAACAAAATCAAAAGAATGAAAAAATAGAAGAAAATATGAAATATCTCATTGGAAAAACAGTCGGCATGGAAAACAGATCCAGGAGAGATGATTTAAGAATTATTGGACTACTTGAAAGTTGTGATCAAAGAAAGAGTCCAGACATCATCTTTCAAGAAATTACCAAAGAAAATTGCCCTGATGTTCTAGAACCAGAGAGTAAAATAATAATTGAAAGAATCCACTAATCAACCTCATGAAAGAGATCCCAAATGAAAACTCCCAAATTCCTGAGCTCCCAGTCAAGGAGAAAGAAACAATTCAAATATTGTGAATCCACAGTCAGGATAACACAAGATTTAGCAGCTTTTGCATTAAAGGATTGGAGGGCTTAGAATATGGTATTTCAGAGGGCAAAGGAGCTATGATTACATCAAAAAATCATCTGTCTAACAAAACCAAGTATAATCCTTCGGGGGGAAAAATGAATATTCAATGAAATAGAGGACTTTCAAGGATTCCTGATCAAAGCTGAATAGAAAATTTGACTTTCAAATGCAAGACTCAAGAAAAGTACAAAAAGTTAAACAGGAAAGAGAAATCATAGGGAATTTAATAAAGTTCAACTGTTTACATTCCCACATGGGAAGATGATACATATAACTCCTAAGAACTTTCTCATTATTAGGGCCTTGAGAAGGAGTATACATAGACGGCATGAGTATGAGTTGACTATGATGGGTTGATATCCAAAAAAATCAAATTAAGGGATGAGAAAGAGTTATGCACTGGAAGAGGGGGAAAGGGAGAGATAGAATGGGGTAAATTATTTCACATAAAAGAGGCACAAAAGTGTTTTTATAGTGGAGAGGAAGAATGGGGAGTTGGTGGGTAACACTTGAACCTTACTCTCTTCAAAATTGGCTCAGGAATGACACTCAGTTGGGTATAAATTTTTCTCTTACTCTATAGGGAAGTAGGAGGGTAGGAGGATAGAAAAGGTGAGGGGTGGGGAGCAGGACCCTGATAGGAGGGAAGGCAGAGGTCAGAAGCAAAACAATTTTGAGTAGGAATAGGGTGAAAGGAGAAAGAGATAAATGGGGAAAAAAAAATAGGATGGAGGGAAATACACAGTCAGTAATCATAACTGTGAGAAAATGTTTACAGCAAGTTTCTCTGATAAAGGCTTCATTTCTCAAATATATAGAGGACAGAGTCAAATTTATAAGAATACCAGTCATTCCCCAATTGATAAGTGGTCAAAGAATATGAGCATGCAGTTTTCAGATGGAGAAATTAAAGCTATCTATAGTCATATGAACAAATGTTCCAAATCACTATTGATTAGAAAAATCCAAATGAAAACAACTCTAAGGTACCACTTCGCACCTAACAGATTGGCTAATATGACAGAAAAGGGAAATAACTAATATTGGAGGGGATGTAGGAAAATTGGGACACTAAAGTTCTGTTGGTGGTGTTGTGAATTCATCCAGCCATTCTGGAAAACAATTTGGAACTATATCCAAAGGTCTGGTGTACTGCATACATACCCTTTGACTCGGCACTACCACTACTAGGTCTGTATCCCAAACAGATTTAAAAACAAAAGGAAAAGGACTCATGTACAAAAATAGTTATTGTTGTTGTTCAGTCATTTCAGTTATGTCTGACTTTTTGTGATCCCATTTGGGGTTTTCTTGGCAAAGGTACTGGAGTGGTTTGCCATTTCCTTCTCTAGCTCATTTTGCAGAGGAGAAAACTGAGGCAAACAGGGTTAAGTGTCTTGGCCAGGGTCACACAGTTAGTAAGTGTCTGAGGTTAGATTTGAATTCAGGTAAATGAGTCTTCATGACTTCAAGCTCAATACTCTATCCACGGTGCCTCCTAGCACCCCTTCCCCCTCAAAAAAGAAACATAGCAGCTATTTTTGTTGGAAATTGAGAGAGTGCCCTTGTGGTATATGATTGTGATGGAATACTATTGTGCTCTTAGAAAGGACAACTAGGATGCTTTCAGAAAAACTTGGACTTACCTGAACTGATGCAAAATGAAGTGAACAGAAGCAGTTGAACAGTGTATATGGTAGTAGCAATATTGCACAAGGATCAACTGTGAAAGACTTAGGTATTCTCAGCAGGACAATTCCTAAAGACTTAGGATGAAAGAATACTATCTGCCCCCAGAGAAAGAACTGATGTAGTCTGAATGCAAATGGAAACTTACTTTTTAAACTTTATTCTTCTTTGTTTAAAAAAAAATTTTTTTTGGTCTGTGTTTTCTTTCATAACATGACTAATATGAAACTCCGTTTTGCATGACTGCACATGTCTATATCAAATTGCTTGCCAAAACAGGGAAGGGTTAGGAGGGAGAGAATTTGGAAGTTTCTAATTTTTAAAAACGAGTGTTAGAGTGTTTTTACATATAATTGGGAAAAATAAAATATTTGTTAAAAAGTCATTGGTAGCTGATAGGGAAATATCTTTTAAAATATCTTAGTGGAATGTGATGGACAGAAGGAAGGAGTCTCCTAGGGAATGCTAATTAGGTACCACAATATTACAGCAGCTCCCTCTATTAAGATAAGGGAGCCCAGGAAAGGTTGTTTCTTTATTAGGCTTCATGATGAAGATGTTATTTCATTCATTTTTAGAAGTGTAATATACTTTTAATACCTGCCTCTCCTTCAGTCTTTTTGTGTTCTCTGCCTTTTCTCTACTCTTATGAAAATGACATGCTAGTCTATTTTCTTATGATAGCAACAAGGGGAAAAATGGGTGATTTTGTTTTCTATTTCAGCCACTTTAGAGAAGCCAGAGTAATGACTTATAAACAAATTTTTTTTTTACTGTTAACTTTAGCACAATCTTTTTGTTTTTATCAGCCATTTACCTTTTTTTAAAGCAATGTTAACAGAAAGGAATGGGTCAGTCATTTAATCAGTGGATTTTATTCTACTTCCTGCAATTATATTATTTCTTAAATTGTTTAACAAAATGCAGTTTTAAGAAATTCTGGTGTATCTAATTGAATTGATCAATTTTAGTTTTGCAGGCAACTCTCAGAGAAGAGAAGAAACTTCGTGTTGAAAATGCTAAACTGAAGAAGGAAATTGAAGGACTTAAGCAGGAGCTCATCCAGGCAGAAATTCGCAATGGAGGTGATTAAAATAGAAACATGAAAATTTATGTCCAGCTTCCTTCTGTTCACATTTCATGTTCACAACTGTGTTGTTTAGTACTTAGAATTAAATTTTTTTTTTAAAAAATAAAGTTGCAGTTTTACTTAAATTATAGTAGAAATTTCAAGGTGAAATTATCATTGCTAAATAAACTGAAATTGTTTCTGATGTGACTAGAGTGATAGGCATTTCCTTAGGACAAATAAAAACAAGTGCAAAGGAGTTGTTTACATCTTGAGTGTCTATTAAATACTCAAATACTCTCTGATAGCTTCAGACACAAGATGTTTTAATTTTTACCCTTTGCCACAGATACTCAAATGTTTAATTTTCAGGCTTTCTGTATGTATGTATAAATAGTATAAAAAGAGCCAGTCTTTTCATTTAAATTGTCTTGTCAATTTAGTTTACAAACAGTAGTAGATACAACCTCATTATTTAAAAAACAACAACGAAACCTTTCTTTGAGAGTACCCTGCCTCAAGAAACTTTTAGGAAAAGTGCCCCAGGTTGAATAGTAGCCACAATTTTGACCCTGTCTCATTCCCTTGGGGCATTAAGTACTTTTCCATGTTTGCTAAAGTTATAAGAATGTTATATTAAGTTGCAGGTTAAAGACACATTAAGGCCCCGAATGCTATTTTAAATGACAGAGTTTATGTTTTCTTAGCATATTTCTTTGTAGCATAGAAAGAACTTGAAGTGTGTGGATTTCTACTCTTTGCTGCTTGTCAGATACTATTGTGTAGTCCATGCAGTATTTTGGTTTAGTTGTGAATTTGAGATTGGGAGCAGGACTTAATTGTTTAATCAGTCCTCTGATTTTACTGAGAAAGAAGCTGAGGTCTGGAGAGCTGAGAGTGTCCTGCCCCCTAGGTCATGTGGGTTATTGATTCCAGGACCAGAACTAGACTTCTGACCTTCCTGTTCTCAAAATTACATTTACTTTTCAAGTTTAATATCTTTCAGGAATTTAAAATAACTGAAATAAAAGACATGGAAAGAATATGCTTTAAAAAAAACTTTTAAAAAATTATGAATTCCCATGTTGTAAGAAAACCTGGTGATACTGTACAGAATGAGTACACTGTGTTGGGAATTGTAAAATTACATTTAGCTGTGGAGTAAATGTGCACTCTATACTTATTTGTAAATATGAACTGAGAAAAAAGGGGAGCTGTTTTTACCAATTCCAAAAAATTATATATCTCTTTGGATAAAATTTTAATAATATTTGCCATTTTCTATACATTTTATTGGTGATTTGGATTTCTTTTTGTTTTTATAGGAGTAATTACTCTGTTGCTTGAAGAGCTGTTAGGGATGTGAAATGATAGGATATTGATTAACTTGGTAGAAAGATATCTGACCTTTCAAGGTAGTTAGCTTCAGCAACACCAGCTACTTAAAAACTGGTCAGCTTAGTTTAAAAATACTAATTTTAAAAGTATTAATAACAAATATTTCAGGATTTTTCTCTGCCTTGAACTGATAACCTCAGATCCTCTTATATTAAATTAATAACTAGGAAATATAAAATAACTTTTTATTACTGTCAGTGGTTACCAGCACAGCATTATGGAGAAACATTACAAATTGCATTTAAATATGTAATGTTACCCAAGTAGTTCACTGTATTTACTGCATAGAAATATCTTGGTAAGGATAATATACTTATTAAGTTGAATGACTAATAAATGTATTATCATTCCTTTAACATCTTACTTATCCCTTCCTTCATTTCCCATGCTGGGAAATTGAATGGTACAAGAGATAGAGCATTGAACCTTAGAATTGGTAAACCTGGGTTTGTGTCTTGTCACAAATTTACTAGTTATATGATCACTGAAAGATTACTTAATCTCTCAAAGTTTCAGATTCCTTGTCTTTTAAAATTAAAATAATAATTCTTCCACTTCCTACCTCACAAGGCAGTTGTGATGGAAAGCACTTTAGAAACCTTAAAGTACAGTGTAGTTAGTAGTGGGAGTATTATTACTTCTTGCTTAATATACCTGGAGGTGCTGTGAACTGTAAAGCCAGTTTCCTGGGGATATTTTGGAGTTTGTATATGTTTATTTTAAAAGTACTTAGGCCTGCTTTTAGAGAAGGAAGCATCAAAATCAAGGAATTTGATTAAGTTTAACAGCATTGTTAAGGCTTTAATGTGTGCCAGAGACTGTGGATGTAAATAACAAAACAAAACGCAAAAAGGGAGGTTTCATTTCTTCAAGCAATAGGAAATATAAACTTAAAGGAACTTTTGGCTTTACATATTTCCCATGAACCTGGAGAGTTTGATCAGCTCTCTATATTGGAAGGGGTCAACTCCAAAAAATAGTCACTCTACATCCCAATCGATAGCCCCCTCAACACTTGAGAACTTTGGTGTTTATAACATCGAATTACAGTCATAGAACAAACCACTAAACTTGACTGGCTATAGCTACATCTCAGCACTTTTCCTTTGCTCAGTCCTTCCAAATCCCAAAGGCACCTGTCACCTGAATTACATAAAGTCCTTGATTATATCTGTGTTGATGTAATCAGGTGTGTGGGTAGGAATTTTGCTAATATCAGTAGCCCCCTGCATCTCATAAAGGAAGTTCCCTTTACCAGAAAATAACTATTTATAGATGCTCTTTCCTCTAAATCACTACAACAGCATTTAGGAGTAGGAAATGTATTTTATTTAACTTTCCCCATACATCCAAATTTGACCTCCATACAGCCACATAAAATTATACAGAAATGATGAAGGAAAAAAAAGCCTCAAATGGCTACTAAGTATTTTTTCTTGGAAAAAAAAAATTTTGTATCAGCATGTCTACAAAAGCTTGAGAATGGAGTGACCTTAGTAGAATTTTATGATGTATATTTGTTAAAATAGAAACATTTGAAATCCTATTTTCTTCTCTAGTTGATGCTTGTGAAGTAGCGTATCTAGACTTTGAATCTGCCATCTAGTGGCTACTTAAACATATTTTCAAGTCCATAGTTTCAACCTCATAGTCAAAATTACTGAGTAATCGATGTAACCAATAAAGTATAGTAGATTTCAGGCATTTTTCTTTTCAGTTCCTATTTCTCAACAGCATTGTTCTGCCCAGGGTAAGATTGTCTTTCATTTTCTTATCTCTGATACCATCTTTTTTTCCTTTGGATTAATAGATAATATGCTAAGCATAATTGCTTTCTTTTTTCCTGTCTCTGTCAGAAAAGGTAGATTTTGCTATTGTCCTTTGACATAGCTCAAATTTAAACTTCGTGCTATTTACCTTCCCACATAATTGTCTGTCCATTGCTTTCGTACTGATTGTTATTGCAAAACAGTGTCGGTCAGAGAATCCTTATATTGGCTTTGCCTTTTAGTGATTTTGAGCAGTCTTTCATTTGAGATATATGATGATGGATATCCTCCAGGAGAGATGTAAGAAGGTGTTGATACATGTAACCACATGTATTAAAGAGTGTTTCTTGGGGAGGGAAAAATAATTTCCTCTGCTATATTTGAAGTCTCAAAACTGAGCATACTTTTAGTACTTAAAACAATGATAGTTCATTTTTGTATAGGATTTAAAGGTCTGTTCAGCCATTTCAGAACAAGATGAGCAAACTAAAACTTGAAAAAGTCAAATTTTTTTTGAGGACACACATCTAATAAATGTAGGACCTAATATTTGAACCCATGTCTGCTGACTCAAATATAGCATTCTTTTTACTGTATTATGCTACCTTTCAAAATAATCCATAATTTTACATTTATAGATCCTGAAACTATTTTTATTGAGTATTACTGTAAAATAGGTTGAGGATTGGGTTTTGGTTTTTTTTGTTTGTTTTTTGCTGCTGCAGTATAGGACAGCATACAAAGATAAATTGAAATTCTACAGAGTATGGTTGTATTTCACCTTTTTTACTTTTAGAAATATTTTGCCAAGTAAACAGCCATGGACCGCAGATTTTATGGTACAAATTTGATGTGGGGGGGGGGGTGAGGTGGCGTGTGAAATACACATACACATTTTTAATAAGGCATTACATAAGGAATATTATTTGATTAGCTACATATTCAGTTTTTGGTTTAGAAAATAATAGTCACCTGACCCCTGAGATAATGCATGCTTTCTGGTATTTGGGTTTTATTGTTGTTTCATTTTTAAATGAGTCTGATTTCCTTTAAATATCTTTTAACCTATTTAAAAAGTAGGAATTCTTTAAAGTATCATTTTTGCTCACTGTTCCTCATGCAGCAATGGCTGCATGTTATAGACCATGCTAACGTAATCCTGTCTGTAGAATAATTGTGCAGACATTACCCTAATATTCTAATTGTCTAGCAGTGAACAATTATTAGTTTTAATCCAGGTAAACGGTAATCTGTTTTAGTAGAGGTGTGTGTGTTTTTTGTTTTTTGGTTTTTTTTTTTAACAATAATTGGACAAATGAGTCATGTTATAAAATTTTCATTAGCTTGAAATCTTGTCCACACAGAATATAGATGTGCGCCGAAGTAGTATGTTTGTTTTAGAAGTATAAGTGTGAATGTAACCTTTCTATTTATTTCCTCCATTCTTAGAAAGTAGTGGTTAGGTAGTCATGAATAAATGACTTCTTTACATAAAAAAATTAATATAACTTAAATATATATTCTTATTTTTTTGTGTTCTGTATTAGGCAACTAAATGGTACTACAGTGGATAGAATTCTGAGGCTGGTCAGGAAGACCCAAGTTTAAATGTGACCTCACACCCTACTTGCTGTATGACCTTGGGCGGGTCACTTAATCGCGACTTATCTCAGTTTCTTCAGTTGTAAAATGAGAATGAACTGCCCTGGGTTGTGAGATGCAAATGAAATAATAATTGTAAAGTACTTAGCCCAGGACTTTGCACATAGTAGGTACTATATACATGCTAGCCGTCATTACTACTGTTTCTTGTTTGAACATTTTATATTTCAATATTCTCTTGTAGTGAAACAAATACCAATTTCATCTGGTCCATCAGTTCAAGCTAATTCTACATCCATAGCTTCTGAAAATTTAATACAGTCAGTATCTGCTCCAGTCTTGTCTTCTGGTACCAAAGGGGAAGAAGAAGAAGAAGAAAAGAGAAAGAAAGAAAATTCAGAAAAAAAAGGTATTTTCACATTTGAAACTTGTTAGTTTCTCAACAGTTGTCAAATACATTCAAGCATAGTTTAATTTAAAAAATAAAAGAAACAGAAAAATATAGATGCATGTTATACTTGGCACCACAATTTTTTTTTTTTACTTTAAGCAATTTTATTACACAAAGGTTGTCTCATGATTGAATGTGTCTGTATTTTGTACATGATTTTAATTAGTTTTCATCTGTACAAAAAGGCTATTTACTTTTCTTTTAGTGATGAAAAACACTAAAGTTCTGATACATCAAAATAATAGTAAAAATCTCTCGTTGCTTTAAGTTGGAAGCAGAGTATTAATACATGGATCTTGTGCCAGTATTGGGAATGTACAGACGAATATCTTTTTTTCTTTTTTTAATACAAATTTATCTGTAGGTACAGATAATGCAGCAATAAACCATCACTTATTTTGTCAACTGAAACGAGTTACTGATGCTTAATAGTGATTTTCTTAAAACATTAGCCTTTACTTCAGTCACTCTCTTCACCTGATTTTTCTGAATTTCTCCAGTGAGATTGCTGCCTTGAGTTTAATATGCATCACAGTGCCTAGTGATAAAATACTGTTCTAGGAAAGTGGAACATGCAGTATATCTCCCATCCATCCAATCAGTCGTCCTATGCTACATTCCTTCTCTTCTTGAGGAATTTCCAAGATGACAACTTCTGCTGTCCTTACCCAAAACTCTACACCAGTAACATCCAGCAAAGTAGTTCTTAAACCCTTAGTTCAATTCTTAGCACCAATTTCCAAGTAGAATTTGCTTATTGGGCTTCAGTATCACTTTGAAAAAGGAAGTTTGTCTGATTTATTCCAGCATAGCCAGGGTTCATGTCATTTTGGTTTAATTCACTCTGTACTTTTAAAGTGCCTACACAGTACAAGGTTCCAGAAATATAATGATGAAACTGTTATACCGTGACTTTAAGAAGCTCTAATAAGGGAAAACAGTATGAACTCAGATACATCAATAGTAAATAATATTCAAAGTAATTTGAGGGGTTGGGGAGGAACTTTTAACTACTGGGAGGATAAAGTTAGGACTCAGGTAGGAGTTGATACTTGAACTGAGCCTTTATTTTTATATCTCCTTTTTAACAGCTCTGGTCATAATAAAAAATAAATAAATTTTTAATTAAAAAAAATAACCTAAATTTGTGGTGAACCTAGTCATTATTGTATGACTTCTCCAAGGGTAGTCATGCAGGTCAACCTGGGTTGAAGTTTGTAATGGGATAAGAGGTGATAAGTGAAGGGAGCAAAGGACTCAAGTATAGAAGACAGACAAGTAAGGATCCTGCACCTGTGATTTCATTGGCCTGTGCGACCTTTGTTTGGTCTTGTGTGAAATTTAACAGGTAAAAGTATTAAGTTTTGTATTTGGGTTTTAAATATAACTTCAGGTAGAGATATAGATATAGATATAGATATATATATATACACACACACACACACACACATATATATATACACACATACATACATACACACACACACATACATATATATATATATATATTCTGTATTAAATGCTGTAAGTGCAAGGGTTTTAGTAGGTTAGTTTCAGTATGAGTTAAGTATGACACAGTATCTAAAAAATCCTTATAGTCTTAAGGAGGAATCTGATGTTTAAACAAGGGAAGTTATAGGCCCCTCTCTGTTTTGCCCCCAGAACTGATTTCAAGTATTTTGTTCATTTCTGGGTGCCACATTTTAGAACATTGAACTAGAAGACAACCAGGATGAATAAGGGACTAGAAATTAGGCCATTTGAGGATCAGTTGATGGAACTGAGGAAATTTAGTCCAAAGGACAAGCAAACATGACAGGACTTTTCATGTATTTGAAAGGCTGTCATTTAAAGAGAGATTAGAACTCATACTCTTGAACTCAGAGGGCAGAGCTAGTAGTAACAGTGAAAAGTTATGGAGAAATAGTTCAGTATAAAAACTTCTTAACATCAGCTGTTTTGAAAGTTAATCTGTTAATTCCCATTTTTTATTTACTCAGTATTTCCAAATATATATCTACTTTTTTTTACCTAGCATACCAGGAATTATAATAAACAGTTGCCTGATAAGGAATATTTTGAGATTTAAAAGATAATTTTGTAATACTTTGAAATATTGTCTTAAGGCATAAGAAAAAGCTTTCCATATTTAAAATCGGTTAATTCTGGCCAAAAATGTTATTTAATGTTATGTTTTCTAACTAGGGAAAGGGTTTTTCAGAGTTTAGAAAAATTTATGTTTACATGTTTTTTACACCTATATTCATACATATTATGTGTGTGTCCATCTAATTATTATTGTGAGATCCACATTGTTGAGATAGAAAAAAAATATGGAATTCATATATGTTAATTAAAATGTTACTGAATTTTATTCCAGTAAATCAATTATGAACTTTTCATTTTCAAATCAGAGGATGTATTTTTAAGTATCAAATTATTTATAACTCCAATAAGAAAGTTTATAGAAAAAGAAAAATCTATACTGTGACCTATTTCACACCACAACATCTTACTCTTCCTTTGATGTGCTTGTTTTGAAGCTAACTTCAAAAAGTAATGAGCTAAATATTTTTAAGACCTTGAAATTGATATATACAAATTTGATAGAGGAATAGTCTTCAGTTGTGTTCTCCAAATCACTAAGAAGAGAAGGAAGAAGCTAAAGTTGAGGGTACGCTTCAGGCAGCACATAAGTGTATTCCTGTTTTATGAAGTAATTTGGATACACAAGAAGTATATATGCAGTAGGTCCTTGTCAACCGGAAGCTTACTTTCTAGTTGAAGAAAATGTTGAGATATATATACTTAATTCAGTATAGCTACATTGTGTACTAATATGATAAAAGGCAAGTGCATTGTAATTACAAAATTGAAAAGTGTTTGAAAATTATTTTAAGTTTGTGGTAGTTAAAAAAAGAATATAGAGATTAGATAAGTGGTTATCAGGAGACAAGTTTTTCACAAGGTAGAAAAGTGACCTGATCTGGGCCTTAAGAAATGGGTTGAAAGAAATATCCATCTCACTCGGATAAAAGGGAAGCGCATTCCAGGATAGGAAGCTTCGCAGCAAGCCCCACCTCAGCAAACTAGCTGTAGATTCTGAGCTGCGGTGTGGTGGAGCAGGCACACACTAGCATCAGGACTCCCCAAGTGCCTTAGCATAGCCAGCGGACTTCAGCTACAAAAATCACCACATGCTTCAGTGTGGCTCCAGACAGGCAGGCATCCTTCAGCATCTGGACCTTTGCGTGCTTCAGTATTGCCCCAAGTGAGTGGTCATCCTCTAACAGATGAACAAAAAAGAACAAAAAAAGAATCTGGCCATAGAAAGTTATTATGGTGACAGGGAAGATCAAGACACAAACTCCGAAGAGGACAACAGTGTCAAAACCCCAAAGGAAAATGGGAAGTGGTCTCAAGCCCAGAAAGATCTCATGAAAGAGTTCTAAAAGGAGCTTAAAAATCATGTAAGAGAGGTAGAAGAAAAATTGGGAAGAGAAATGAGCATGATACAAGAGAATTATGGAAAAAAGACTCAATAGCTTGGAAAACTCCTTTAAAAATAGAATTGGCCAAATGGAAAAGAAAGTATGAAAGCTAATTGAGGAAAACAATACCTTAAAAGTTAAGAGTTGGGCAAGTAGAAGCTAATGACTCTGTGAAACATCATGAATCAATCAAATTCAAAAGAGAGGGGAAAAAATAGAAGAAAATGTAAAATACCTCATGGGGAAAACAGCTGACCTGGAAAATAGGTCCAGGAGAGACAATATCAGAATCATTGGACTACCTAAAGCCATAATCAAAAGGAGGACCTGGACAGCATCTTTCAAGAAATTATCAAGGAAAACTGCCCTGATGTCCTGGAACCAGAGTGCAGAATAGGCATTGAAAGAATCCACTGATCATCTTAGAAAAGAAATGCCAAAATAACCCCAAGGAACATTATAGCCAAATTTCAGAAGTATCAAGTCAGGAAGAAAATACTACAAGTGTCCAGAAAGAAACAATTCAATTATCGGGGAGTCACAATCAGGATCACACAGTACTTGGCAACTGCAACATTAAAGAATCGGAGGTCACGGAACATGATATTCTGGAGGGCAGAGGGCTAGGACTACAACCAAGAGTCATTTACCCAGCAAAATTAACCATCAAGGGGAAAAAATGGTTATTCAGTGAAATAGAAGAATTTCAGGCCTTCATAAGGAGAAAACCAGAGTTAACTGAAAATTTGACCTCCAATATCAAGACCCAAGAGAAGCATAAACAGGTAAAAAGGGAAAAGAAAACAGGGATTCAGTAGAGCTAAACTGTTTACATTCCTACACAGGAAGATGATAGTTGTAACTCTTAAAAACTATTATTACTAACAGTATAGATTTTATGGGTATAAGGTGAAAATGAAGGGATGAGAAAGAGGAATATAGTGGGTGCCAAAGGAAGGGAGAAGTAGAATGGGGAAAGTTATCCACATGAGGAGGCGAGGAAGATCTATTACAGTGGTAGGGAAGATGGGGGTGGGGGGCGATAGGCATTGCCTCAAAGAGGAAATAATATATACAATCAGATGAATATAGAAATCTATCTTACTGATAGGGAAGTAGGAGGGAAGGAGATTAAGTAAAGGGGGTGGGGCTGACAAGAGAGAACAGACTGGGGGAGGTGATAGAAGGAAAACACTGGTGAGGAGGGAAAAGGTGAAATGAGAGACAGGACAGACAGGAAAAAGAATAGGATGGAGGGAAATACACAGGTAGTAATCATAAATGTGAATATGAATTGGATGAACTCTCCCATTAAACAGAAACAGATATCAGAATGGATCAAAAACTAGAATCCTACAGTGTATTGGGTACGATGAACACACTTGAAGCAGAGAGACACAGAGTAAAAGAGGCTGGAGCAGAATCTATCATGCTTCAGCTGAAGTAAAAAAAAAAAGTAGGAGTAGCAATCCTGATGTTAGACAAAGTAAAAGAAAAATAGACCAATGAAAAGAGATAAGGAAGCAAAATACATCTTGCTAAAAGGTACCATAGACAATAAAGCAATCAGATTAGAAGAGTAAGGAATAGTCTACCCATCAGAGCTCTGAAAAGGGAAGAATTCATGACCAAACAAGAGATAGAGAGCGTTAGGAAATGGAGAAGAGATAATTTTGATCATATTAAATTGAAAAGCTTTTGTACAAACAAAACCAATACAACCAAGATTAGAAAGAAAGCAGGAAACCAGGAAACAATCTTTACAGCAAGTATCTCTGATAAAGGCCTCATTTCTCACATATACAGAGAACTGAGTCAAATTTATGAGAATACAATCCATTCCTCAGTTGATAAATGGTCAGAGGCTATGAAAAGGCAGTTTTCAGATGAAACAATCAAAGGTATCCGTAGGCAGTTGAAGTACTATAAATAACTTTTGATTAGAGAAATGCAAATTAAAACAACTCTTAAAATACATGGCACACCAATCAGATTTGCTAATATGACAAAAAAAGGAAAATGATATATGGTGGAGAGGATGTGGAAAATTGGGGCAGTACTGCACTGTGGAGTTGAGAACTGATCCAACCATTCTCCAGCAATTTGGAACTGTGCCCAAGGGTCAACCACACTGTGCATACCCTTTGATCCAGCAATACCACTATTAGGTCTGTAACTCAAAGAAATCATAAAAAAGGGGAAAGGACCTACATATGCAAAAATATTTATAGCAGCCCTTTTCGTGGTGGCAGAATATTGGAAATTGAGGGGATGCCCATCAATTGGGGAATGGTTGAATGAGCTGTGGTATATAAATGTAATAGAATCCTATTGTGCTATAAGAAATGATGAACAGGCACATTTCAGAAAAACTTGGAAAGATTTGTACAAACTGATGCAAAGTAAAATGAGCAGAACCAGGAAAACACTGTACACAGTGTCAGAAACATTGTGTGATGATGAACTATGAATGACTCAGCTCTTTATAGCAACTCAGTAATCCAAGACAACTACAAAAGACTCACAAAGGAAAATGCTGTCCAGATCCAGATAAAGAATTGATGAACTCTGAATGCAGATCAAAGCATATTTTTTCACTTTATTCTTTCTCATGTTTTTTTTTTCTTTTGCTCGTTTCTTCTACAACTGTGATGATTATGGAAATATGTTGTACATGATAGCATATGTATAACCTATATCAAACTGCCTACTGTTCTCAGAAGAGAGGAGGGGGGATGGAGGGAAGGAGAAAAATTTGAAACTGAAAATCTTGTAAAAATGAGTGCTAAAATTTTTTTGATATGTAATTATGGGGAAAAATAAAATACTATTCAGAGCAAAAAAAAAAAATAGGTTGAGTATGCATAAATGGAAGAGTTATCCAATTCTCTTCCCTTCTCTTCCCCACCACCCCATAAATTTAAATAATATGAACACCCAAACAAACTTCCCTACAGTATATTTTTCCTGAAACATTTAAGTAGGACTACCTAATATCAGGATTGTGATATTATAAGCAGGGCATCACTTTCTGTTTCTGTAGTTTATTGATTATTCATGAAAGTTAAATATGAACCCTTTGACTTAGTAAAACATCAATTTTGACCAGAGTTGTTGCATCTTGGCAACAGCTTTATTCAGCAAATCATGTAGCACATCATTTGTTAAGTTAGTTTCTTATATGCAAGAAATTGAAGGAACTTGTTTTTAAATTTATTCTGCCACCCTTTTCCGTTTTATGAGTGAATGCATCCTGTTAGCATTTAGTGTCATAATTTTTGTTTGTTTTTCCTCCATCAAATTCTGTTATGTTGAGTATGGGTGTTTGTCTATCACTGTTGCTCTAAAAAAATCAGCTGGTATCTGTTGTTTTTCTTGGAACAATCAGAGTCTAGTTGTGCATCCTCCAACCCCTTTTTATAATCAAGGACCTACCTTGTTTTGCTTGAAGCAGGCTCCTGCCCAGATCCACCCTTTTGGCTCCCCTTTCCTAAAATAAAATGGCCTGTTATTTACTTTATTACTTTATTTTGGCTTTTTTTACTGTTATAATCTGGGGGAAAAAAAAGGTTGTTTTTTTTTTATTTTAATCAGCTTGGCTTTTTGTTTTGTTTTGGGGGGATGGCGAGGAAGCAGAACTAAGTAGCACTGAGGATTGAGCTTGGAAGCAGAAGGATCTAGCCTTGAGTTCTTCCTCTCAAACGTACTAGCTTTGTAATCATGGACGAGTGAATCACTTAATCTCCCAGTACCTCAGACAACTCTTTAAGGCCCTAAATTATATACATTTTCATCACCAGAGAGTTTTGAACATAGATTAAATAACATTTCTGAACCAAAAATACATATATATATGTTGTGTGTATATCCACACATATATTTTATTTTTCTTAATCTTGAAGTCAGAAGGTAAGGTTCCTTTGAGCCGATGTTAAAAAGGATCAGTAAAAATTAATTGAATATAAATTATTTAAAATAGAGATTGGAAATATGATTCGAGTGAATATCTTTACTTATACTGCTCCTACCTTATTTTGGGCCCTCAGCACCTCTTCTTTGGACTCTTGGAATAGCCTGCAAATTGGCTTTTCCATTCTTAAATCCATCTTCCATACCGATACCAAAATAACTTTCCTAAGCTACACAAGTGTGATCGTGTTATTCCTCCTTTTCAGAAACTGGCAGAGATTCTTTATTGTCTCGACTATAAAATACAAACTAGTATTTAAAACCCTCTACTATTTAAATACAACCTACTTTTCTAAATATGTTCCACTTTAATCTGTTTCACACACTCTGCGTCCCAACCAAACTGTCCTGTACTAGCTCTTGCTGTTAAATTGTCTGCATTCACATAAAGAGTTTCCCTTTCCTGGAGTGCATCCCTCATCATCTGCCTCTCAGAATCCTTATCTTCCTTGAGGTAGCTTTAGTTGCTACCTCTTACACAGTCTTCCCAAAGCCCTCAGTTTTTGTATTCTCTCCCTCCTTATCTTCTATTTGCCTAACTTTGAACATGCACAATAGCTTTCTAGGCAGTTTAATTCTTCCTTTGTATTCCAAGCTCTTGGGGTACAGATGGAAAAGGGAGAGAGCCCCTGCTCTCACGGTCTTCATATTCTAATAGAGACAACACATGTTCCATGTATTCCACATGTTCATTTTCCATCAATTCCTCTGCTAGTTTTCAACCCCATGAATGTCCTGCCTTCCCTAGGATAAGCTCACCACCTGAAATCTCATCATCTTGCAGATTGCCTTAGTTTTGAAACTCAGCAGTTTCCCCTCTGACTAGAGGGCAGAGTAATAAACTCAGCCCAGAGCCTTCATTTATAGAGAGCTCAGAACTTTTCCATCAACTGCCTTGCTTAGTTTCAACTCCGGTTATATCAACCCCCCTTGCCAGTTACTCCCCGACTACCCTCCCACTTTTTCAACTTCTTTTTTATATTGTCTTCCTTCATTAGACTATAAGATCCTTGAGGGCAGGGACTGTCATTTTTTTTTTCTTAGTTCTGTACCCACCACTTTGCATAGTTCCTGGCACATAGTAAGCACTTAATAAATGTTTATCGACTATTGATAAGAGAATTCAGCTGCATGGCAGATGGTAAGGCCTGAAGACCTAAATAGCACAATAGATGATAAGACCTTGAAGTCCTCTATTTTACAGATATTATAGTTGTGACTGCCGTGTACGTCCACATCAAAGTGATGTGAGTGGCCATATTTCCTCACCTATCTTTGGGTCTGGAGGGACCCTAGTCACCACCATTGGGAATACACCAGTGGAGCCTCAGGGTCTGAGTAGAGGAGGGACTCTGGATTTCCTCATGAAGTTGTGGGAGTAGAGGGAGTCAACCTTCAGCCAGGAGAGGGAAAGAGGGAAAGGGACATTGGCAAGAGGGTTTGGGGAGAGTGACATCCTTTGGCACTTGCTGCCCCAGGCCCACGGAGGAAGGGCTACGCTGTTGGCAGGTGGGATAAATTTTTGTTAGATCACCATGACTTCTCTAACATGGTAGAACCTGACTAGCATAGTCTTTGAAATCTCAGGGTCTTTCAGTTAGGACGTTGGTAGAGATTGTTGAAAGCTCAAAAGAGAAAGATGTTTAGCCAGTAGGATTACATATAGTCAACTCTAGTGTTTTTACAGTATTATTATTCACAGCTCAGTTATCATGTTTACGAAGGAAAACATTTTCCCCCCTACAAAAAAGCATATTAGAAGTTACTTTTCTTCTGATTTCGATACATCTACCATTTCTATCTCTATGCAGGTATTATCTCATGTTAACCCCCCACCCAACATAGTTGCTGGAAAGTTAAATAAACAACATAAAATAATGATGAGGCCCATTGGAAATTCAAGAACTTTCTTAAAATACACTGAAACACTACTTCACATAGCTCTGGGACTCAAAATAGCAAGACTTGGAAATAAGGAACAGCATGGTACAGTGGAGAGAATACTGGCTCTGGAGTCAGAAGACCTGAGTTCAAGTTCTGCCTCTGAAAGTGTTACCTATATGACCTTGGCACGTCACTTCACCTCAGTAGGACTTAGTTTCCTCATCTGTGAAATGAATAGGTTGGATTAGACGGCGTCTGAGGTCATTGCAAGCTCAAGACCTGTTATCCTGTAGTTTGACATTAAAATCCCCTTAATGTACCATGCTTTTTAGGAAAAAATGAGGCCAGACTTGTTAGAAGAGATCATGTGATGCAGGCCCAGATCCAGCTCACTAGTGTTTGTGGCGCGTCTCCTGATACTGTCACTGTCAGTGTAGGTGAGCTTCAGCGGATTGGGCTGCCTGCCCCGTGGTGAGGTTGGGTTAGGCTGGTGTGGAGGGTTCACAGTATGTGGCTTCGAGGCAGCATCTGCGTTGAGTGTATAAATGAATTATATTGTGGTTTTACTTCCTGACTGGATACCATTCCTGATCACTTGACAGGAGAGAAGAAGGAAAAGAAGCAAAAGCAGCCAGCAACCCCTGACTCCAAACCAATAGACGTCTCTCTCCTGGATCTTCGCATTGGTTGTATCATCGCTGCCAAAAAGCATCCCGATGCAGATTCTTTGTATGTTGAAGAGGTGGATGTTGGAGAAAAAGTACCAAGAACAGTGGTCAGTGGCTTGGTGAAGTATATCCCCCTTGACCAGGTATGTTGCTTTTGAGCAGTGTTTCTTTTCATTCAGTCCCAGATGGTGCTAATCCATGATGTGTTCAACAAAAAGGCATTTCTTTATCAGATAACTCATATCCACAGGACATTTTCCAATTTTGTGTAGCGGTTGTTTTGTGGAATATAGCCACTTTCAATTACCTGGAAGGAAAGGGGGAAAAAACAGTAAAAATCTTAAAAGAGATTCCCAAAGTAAATCCTTGAGAATAAAAGGAAGAATGGATCCATTGTTTGTTTTGAAGCTTGGACCACTTTCTCTTTGTGCTCCTCACAGAAAAAAAAACCAGAGTTTTATTACTTAGAATATGTTGTGCATTGCTGCCAGACCTCCTGTGCTCAGCTCTGTCATTACAGGAGTAAAAACTACTGGTTTTCTAGCAAGCTAAAGGTGAGCTTCTAAAACCTTGAAGGAGATACATGTCCCATGAAAACTGTTGCCTAGTATTTGTATTTCAAGTGAGTTTAAATAACTTGAATTGTTCAGGCTTTCTACTTTTGCTTTAGCAATTTGAATGCAGCTTTATAAATACCTTTAAGTGCAGGTACTGATGTTTTGAAATTTTACAGGACCAAAAAAAAAAAAATCACCAAAATTTTAAAGGAGGCCTGAGTTCTTTTTTAAACTTCCCCGGGCTGTAAGGTTATTTCTTTGTAGGGCTGTAGAGCTGCGCCCTATTAAGTTTTGAATGTCTGCTCTGTAACTATATCCAGCAATACTTCCCCTGTTAGCATGTTGATTGGGGAAATCAAATGTTTAAAAAAAAAAATGCAATTATGAATTGAAACTCTAATGAGGAACTTAGTATTGATTATTTATCTGAGTTGAGTTTTGGTCAAAATAATTGTATTAAGTTTTCTTCTGTGACTCAGTCCTGAAGATAGTCTGGCAGCTGCTTTTAATCTATAATTAGAAATCCATAGTATTCATGTTTAGCTGTTGGTTCAATATTGACTTCATATTGACAGCAAAAATCCAAGTCTGGATTCCTTTTTCTCACTTCCTAATTAATCTGCCTAGGGAGGCAGCCTAATGTAGTGGGAAAAGTCCTGTACCTGGAATGATGGAATGAATGAATGAAGCATTCATTAAGTTTTCGTCTGTTTAAAGCACTGTGCTAAGAATAAGGATTGTTAAGAATATAAATCAAAATCGAGATGCTTCTGCCATCAAAGAGCTTGCATTTTAATTGGGGGAGATAAATGCCTATAAGGGGAATGGTGGCCCAGGAAACAAGCTTTGGTCTGGGGAGTCACAGGGATGATTAGTGAACAGCGGATCAGTCTGTTTTGGTGAAGACGGTGATGGTTCTCAGAGCAGGAGGTGGAAGGGAGAGGGGTTGGAGAGAAAAGGGCACAAAGAAAGATGAGAATGAACTCCCTGGGAGTTCAGAGCCAAATGAAGTATTTCTAAGCAAATGTGCCCTGAAAACCATTGATTGCTATAGGGGGAGGAAGGTACAAGAGAGAACACACACACGCACACACACAACCCCTTGCAATTTTATCCTTTTGGGGGAAATTTTGCAATCTATAACCATCGATCATTCTTGTCTTACTGGACATTTTTTCTTCTCTTATAATAGCATTAAAAACTCCTGATGTCTTCTGTTGCTATTTCAGTTGACCATCTGCTGATTTTGCAGAAAAGATTAATGTATTATTACAAATTAATGCATAGTTTCTTTTGAAGTTTTTATTCTGAATTAAATAGCCATACAAAGAGCATTTCCATACGTGAAACAGAACACAAAAAACATTATATATGACATTCAAATAACCCATATATACTACTTGCTTTTAAGAAAAAACGTATAATAAATTCTACCTACTACAAAGGCTTTCTCTTTTTTGGCACCACTATTGGTAACTCTTCTCATCCTTCTCCTTTCCTTTCCTCCCCACCCCTACCTCCATTAAGAACTAAGAAGAAAAAAAACAAAAGCCCTTGTGATAATTAAGCACAGTTAAACAAAATAAGTCCATATAGTGTCCATGTCCAAAAATGTGTCTTTCTTTCCAGACCTTGTGTCCATCACCTCTATTGAGAGATGAGTGATAACGTTTCATCGTAGGTCTCCTGAACATGTAATTGATCAGAGTTCTTTCAAAATTGTTTTTCTTTGCAGTGTTGATGTCCTTGTAGAAATTGCTTTCCTGGTTCTTGCTTCACACTGTGGCAGCTCAGAGAATACTCAGTATTCTCTGAAATTATATTTTTCATCATCTTAGTAATATTCTGTTACATTTCATATATGACAGTTTGTTCAGCCATCCAAGAGGCAGTGTTCCAGGAGCACAACATCTGGAAATACAGCTATCATCTCTTCCATTTGGACTCTATACTGAATATTCTCCCGTATCATGGAAAACCCCATGGTGGTCATACCTCCATGCTATACATCACTTGATATTCATAGTCAAGGCGTAGTTAAACAAGCCTGTCTTTTGTTCCGTCTTTCAAGGAATCTTGTGTAATTTTGACACATGCATGAAAGACATCTTGTTGGAAAAGAGCCTTTAAGGAATAATTTTACAATACCAAATTAAAAACTTTTTTATAGTTCAAAAAAATAAGCTTGGAGAGATCTTGTGGTTTCTTATACCTTAAAGTCAATTTTATCATTGCAAAGATATGGTGTATTGTTGAATGTATTTTATGAAAAACTTTTGTTCCCTTCTTAAACCGTCATTAGGGATGTCCTTGGTGCTTAAGAAGATTATTCTCATAGGGGTTGGGGAAGGGGAGGAGTTTTAGAGATGGGAAAGTATAGGTCTATAGTTATTGGTATTCATAGAACCTCCTGAGGAAAATTTCGATCACTGAGAAATTTGGCCCAACTGTCCAAATAAGTAAAGAATTCCTCTTGTCCAAATAGTGACACTTATTTGAATATACAACCCATAGAGTTGCTTTATGAGTTCCTAGGTCTTGAACAAACACTGCAAATAGCTATCTGGTAGGAGCTCATTTATTTGGTGAAAGAAAGCAGGCTAGATTGCCTTTGAGAAATTGTACAGTGTTTTTAATGACCTCAAGCTTCTCCCTGAAATAAAGGCCTGTCTTTTCATTAGTAATATTCTTACCATAGCATATCGCAGTCTCCATAGATTTAAAAGTTTAGATCACATAAAGAGCACCTTGGCAGACCTGAGCAGACTACAACATGTTGCCAATGAAGGATTGTGCAGGAGAAATAGCTGGTGCTAGAGAAAGACGTGTGATAGGAGGAATAAGGATAATCAGTAAACACCAAGATAAAAACTCCCAGGTGAAGTGGATCCACTGGGGAGGATTGAAGGAGAATATAGATAGAAGTTAACACAGGATGAGCTGGCACGAATGGGCTATAGTCTCTGTCACTGGTGGAAAACGTAAGATTGCAGATCTATGGAAGGGAGAAGTTTGTTTTGAAACAACAGCAAAGCCATTATAAAATGTGTTCAAGGAAACAGCAGTTGATTATTGATTATTAATAAAAAGGTGGGATATTTGACCAGAGTTTTGTCTGTCCAGGTTGACTTCAGTCATTGTGTATGTTATTCCGGCTCTTTGTTTTTTACTTTGCCTCCCTTCATACATGTCTCCCCTATTTCTCATCTAGTCTTTCCTTATATTGCAGTAATATTTTATTCAGATACCATATCCTTTGAATATTAATTACTTTAAACATTTTTTTCAATAAACACTTTGTATTTCTTTTTTGAAAACTATTCATATCCATTGACCACATGTCTGTATGTGGTTTATCCCTAAATTTTTTTAAATGTGAGGTTGGGCTACGTGGCCTTTCTAAGGTCTTTGGTGAAAATGGCAGTTTTCCTACCCTAGCTCTAGAATTAAGATCCGAAGCACCTATAACTTTCCCAGTTTCATGGAGTTTGGGGCCATGAAACAGTAACTCCCTTCTTTTTTCTTTTCATTTTTATTCACTTTTTGTAATCATGTTTTTTTAAGTTTGACCAATTACACCAGAATGTGAGGCATCATTACAACCATCACCTTTTATATTAATCAGAAAAATATTTTAGGTTCTGTTAAATTGCTTTATGTTTCTCAAATTCTTATTCACATCTGCTTTACAGCAAAAGCTATAAATACTAATGATGATAATGTAATGAAAAACAATTGGGAAATACATTCTTAGTTTTGAAGAAATACTTGTTTGATTTTTTTTCCTCCAGGTATTAATATAGCAAACCATTAGAGTAATTTAAGTCTACCCAGTACTGTTTTAATTTAGGACTTTATGAATGAATTTTAGATAACGTAGTCTTAAAATACCTTACCTCAGCAAAGATAATGACTAAGAGGATGATTGCATAATCAAAAGAATCACAACCTTTGAAAGACTCATCAGTCCTTCTAATCCAACACTTCCTTGAACATAGCCTCTCCTCCCCTGTATTGCTCACAGTAATCTGTCTCTGCTTGTAGACCTCCATTGTGGGGGATATACCACCTCTATAGACAGGCCATTGAACTTATGGACAGCTCAAATGTTTATGAAGTTTTTCTTTTTTTTTTTTCTTTCCAATTACATGTAAAGGTAGTTTTCAGCATTCACTTTTTATAAGATTTTGAATTCCAAATTATCCTTCTTCCATTCCTGTCTCCCCAAGACAACAAGCAGTCTGATATAGGTTATACATGTACAATCATATTAATATGAAGCTTTTCTTAAACAGATCTAAGACCTGCCTCTTCTGCCTGCTCTCTGAGGCCAGCCAGAACAAGTCTAATCCTCTTATGCATAGCAGCCCTTTGAAATACTTGAATTCCGTTTTTATTGTCTGTAAAGTCAGTGTTTGGAAACTGTGGGTATGTAGAGTGAGAGAGTAAAAAGTCAGAGATAAAGCCACAGAGGTGAACCTCAAGTCTCAAGGGGTGCTGATGCTGTCAACAAAAATAGGGAACTTTCTAAGAGGGATGGATTTGGGAGGCAAAGATAATGAGCTCTGTTTTGGACAGAGTGCAGAAAAAGAAGAGAAATCAGCCCAGAGCAGAGCCTTGGGGAGCACCCACAGGCAGAGGTTGTGATAAGGATGATGAGTCAGCAAAGGAAACTGAGAAGGAAATGTCAGAAAGGTAATAGGTGAACCAGGAGAGAGTAGTGTCATGAAATCCCAGAGAAGAGAAACCATAGGACTAAAAAAAGACCGTCAGATTTGGCAGTTTTATTATTATTCTTTATCAACTGTGGGAAGAGCATGAGTAGTTGAGTGTTGAGGTTGGAAACCAGATTGCAAAGGGTGGAAGTAAGTATGAGTAGCTATAGAGTAAGATGATATAAAATAGAAGCAATGAGTAGGGCCTACTTGGGTGTGGCCTTTTAACTCAGTCCAACTTTTACAGAACAAATCCTTTTATTAAGGGGATTTGTTCTGCCAAGTTTGGATTCAGTGAAATGGATGCACTTGAGGACCTAGAGGGCCACATATGGCCTCAAGGCTGCAGATTCCTCACCCTTGGAATAGACTGCACCACGATAGTTATCTATTCTGGATTTGAGATAAGGCTAGGGAAGGGAGGGAACTCACCTTTTCTTGGCTTTCTGTGTTCTTTTTCGAAGGGGTCAGGGAAGAGACTCAGGAATTTCATTTTCTATTCTCCATCTTTTTTTTAAGCCTGAGGTTCTAATCTCACTAAGCACAGAAGCTGGTGTACCCTGTCTTTGTTTGTTATTATCTCTTAAGTGGGAAAATTCACTGAGCACACAAAATAGTGCATATTTGATTGTATGATTTAAGACATAATAACAAATAAAAATTGAATTATTTAACTTTTATTATAATTGAAAAAATTGCATTATTTAACTTCTTAAGTTGGTTGAATTATAAAAATGACAGAAATTTCTGGGTTTTGTTTTTGTAAATGTAATACCAGTAGTTCGTCTTTGCTACTGTTTCCTGGTTCTGTGAAGCATTTTACAGACCCCATAAAAGTTAATAGTAAGTTGAAGGAGATCTAAGGGTGATGATTAATAACTCCAGAATGTTAGGCAAGAAAATAAGCTCCCAACAAGGAAAGTACCATAGAAAATTAACATTGTTTTTTAATGCCCGATTACTGTATCATGCATTTATGCATGTAATCCTTTATAATCCTTTTCCTTTGCCAAATTGTCATTTGAAAATAAAAGTTCCTCCCAGTTACACAACAGTTTGATTGAAGATGGATTGAAAACATCTTCTCTTTTGATGCTGTCTTATTATTTCTGTTTTATTATTTATTCACATCCTCTTGCGACCTAATCTTAGACACCAAGATATTACAATCCTTAAAAAAAAAAATTAGATTTTTTTTTAAAACTAGGCTTGTTAACAGCAATAATAGCTTTCCTTATTAACTACCCTTTGTGTTTATTAGTTCTCTTTATTTTTCCTTACTCTTAAAATTGCTCATTTGGATTTCGAGTCACTGTAAATGGGTCTAGCTGTAGGTAGACATTAAGCAACTCAAGTTGCCTTTTAGATATCGCTTCACATCTTTTAAGATAAAAACTTGTGAACTCAAAAATTGCTTTTAATAATGACAAGAAAAAGAAATGTAAATTCATTTTGAAAGTTAGACAGTTATGGAATTCTGTCAAGGTGAACCATGCACTTCTTAATTTGATGTACAATGTATGTTATACATATTATATATTCAATGTTGAAGTATATTGAATGCACATTTCAAACGTGGCTGTTTTACTGTGTTTAAGAAGATCTATAATTTCATTTGTGTGGCTCATCTCCCACTAATGCAGATAGTTTCATGAGTTTCTGTGGCCAAAAAGTTCATCATTTGTAAGCACTGTTGATGAGCCTCTCTGAATTTAGGCTACACATTAGGCAACTCACACAGTTCATTATGGGTCCTTAGTGAAGCCTTTCTAGCTTGATAGGACCTGCCAGAGCTTCTGCTTTATGGTCATAGCCTTTAATAAGCCAGGGTCATTTCCAAACCACATTGGAATATCAGAGTTGGACTTTAGTGGTGGTAGATATTTCCACGTTAAAGGTATTTCCATTTTTTAATTTCACAGGCTTAAGATAAAAACAAAAAGGCATATTATTTTCTTTAGACTTGGGATTTTTTTGTAGTTTTTAGAAATTTTATTTCCATAATCTTTTTGTGTAGAACATGGGCAAAAACTGAAGGAAAAAAGCTTCACTAATGAGAAAATATTGGGAAAAAAAAAGTAGTTAATACTTAATGATACACCGTGTCATATGTGTGGGGTATTTGGAAAATGTTTCTTATGACATTCAAATTTAGAAATACTAAAATGTACAAGCCAGGCAGAAGTGATGGGATAAGAAAGGCTGAGATAGACAGTGCAGGAGTAGGAGAAGGACCACATGGTGGTAAAGCTAGATGTCAACTTGGGAGGTTTCAGAACAGACTCCTCTTTGAGAAGAGGTTAGAATAGATGGTCTCTGAGACAATTTTCCTTTTTGATTCTGAGACCACGTACTTTTCTCCTTCCAAATCGGAAAATTTTCATTAATATCCGTAAACCAACTAAAAAAAATTTACTTCTAAAAGCATAATTGATGGTTTTAACCAATGTTGGACATAGAGTATTAATCCCTTTGATTGTGATAACTCCAAAACCCTTTTGTATCCTCATCTTTTTGAGGGCCTGTCTATCAAAATTCATTTCCCTGGAAGGATAATTGTTGACTTTTTTCCCTCCAGGTTAGAAGGTCACCCCTATATCATTGGGACCACAGAGGTCACCTGGTCCAGCCCTTTCGTTTTGCAAATAAGGAAACTGAGTCTTGAGAGGTTAAATGACATATCCAAAGTCTCTCCTGTAACAAATAGCAGAGAGGGCTTTAAACCTCAGACCCCTGATTCTAGATGCAATTTTTTTCCATTATAGTGTACTTTCCTAGATGAGAAAGTTTGTTATTTTTGTTTTTCTACCTAGAGATACTGAACATCAGTGCTTTTTGATGTTTTTTTCCCCAAATTCAATTTTATTTCTTTTTCACTTCCAAATTCTCACACTCTCCCCACCCTTCCCATTGTGAAGGCAAGAAAAACAAAATCCATTACAAATATGTGTAGTCATACAAAACAAATTTACATATTAGCCATGTCCAAAAGAAAGAAAGAGGAAAAAATGTACTTCATTCTGCACTCGGAATCTGTCAGCATGAGTCATTTGGAATTGTGGTCCTTAACTGGTCCACATGATTGATCATTGTGTGGATCAGAGTTACTAAGGCTTTCAAAGATGATTATCTTTACAGTATTTACTGCTATTGTGTAAAATTGTTCTCTTGGTTTTGCTCACTTCAGTTCATACAAATCTTTTGAAACATTCCCTTCATTATTTTTTTTTCCCTACTTACCCCTTCATCCTTTCTTATGGCACAGTTGTATTCCATTATATTCATATAATTGACGGACATTTCCCCAGTTTCTAATTCTTTGCCCTCACAGAAAGTGCTGCTAGAAATATTTTTTACATAAATCTTATTTCTTTGATATCTTTGGAGTTTAGACCTACTAGTGGTATTACTGGTTTAAAGGGTATACACAGTTTAAGAGTTTTGGGGGCATAGTTCCAAATTGCTTTGCAGAATGGTTCACATTAAAACTCCTTTTATGTGCACAGCATTAGGCCAGGCACTGGGAATACAAAGATGAAAATGAAAAAGCCCCTGCTCTCGTGGATTTTATGTTCTGATGGGAGATACAATATTCATTACTTCGCAGTTTCACCAAGACTGAATTAGTTTTCCCACATCCCCTCTAGCATGTCATTTTTTTGCTTATCTTAATCAATCTGATGAATGTGAAGTGTTACCTTGGAGTTGTTTTAATTTGTATTTTTCTGATTAGTAATCATTTAGAGCATTTTTTCATGCAGCTATTGATAATTTTAATTTCTTCCTCTGAAAATTGCCTATCGTATCCTTTGACCATTTATCAGTTGGGGGAATGGCCTTTTTCATGCCCTTTGAAATAAATTATATGAGCTAACCTTTTTCCGTAAGAAGCCTTTCAATATGTCTAGCAGACTACAATACCTTCTTTCCTTTAGAGTATATCCTATTCATTCTGAATAGGGTGGTGAGAGACAGTGTGGCATGGTGGATAGAGCATAAGACTTGGAGTCAGGAAGCCCTGGGCTCCCACCCCAGATACTTATTAACTAGGTGACACTGGACAAATCACCTCACTTCCCTTATCATTAGTCTCTTCTTCTGTAAAATGACTGTAATCAATACTATGTGGATCACACACACACTCTCATACTTTACTCACCTTTATTGGATTTTTTTTTTCTTCCTTTTACCCTCTAGTGGTTCAGTTTACAGTCTGTCATCTTTGGAGAAATCCTGGTTCTTATTTCATTCCTCCAAAAATGTATCATTATCCCTAGAAAGAATTACAGCTACCCTTTCTTCTCACTAACAAACTGAGGTATCTACTCCTTTCTGATAAACGGTTCTTTCTAATTTCAGAATACCCTCTGAGGTATCCAGGGTACAGGTAGAGCAAAAGCTGTTACAAGATTCCATGAAAAATAGAATTTGTTGGTAAATAAATGGATGGAACTTGGAGAGTATTTGGAGTTCACACTTAAATTTTAAGCAGTGCCAGTACTTTTTTTGTCATTTACAGAATCTCATAACCTGATAAACATGAAATAAGTTGTGTCTTAGAAGAATGGTGTAGAGATTTAAGAACATTGATGTTTATTTTCGTAGGTGCTGATAGTTACCGGCATATATACCTTCAGCTGTAACATTTTCTATACTTACACTTTTATAGATAGCTCTAAAATCATAATATAAAATTCTCAGAATACTTGTATTATTGATAGAGACACTCAGAACAAACATTTTTATTACTATATTTTAAATTCAATATTCATAAATAAAATTGAGGTCACCTTTGGTCATCTGATTTGTTATTCCTACAGATACAGAATCGGATGGTGATTTTGCTTTGTAATCTGAAGCCTGCAAAGATGAGGGGAGTGGTATCTCAGGCTATGTTGATGTGTGCCAGTTCACCAGAGAAGGTGGAAATCTTGGATCCTCCCAGTGGATCTGTTCCTGGAGACAGAATTACTTTCGAGGGATTCTCTGGTAAGCATGAAATCATACTATAAAATTGTGTGTCAGAAATCTGTAAGAAACATTTTAGTGCTAGCTTGAGTAAAGTCAATTTTATATCTAAATTACATTACTATACTTTTAACCTTCCATTAAGTAATTATCATTGACTTCCTCCAGTGTCCCAGTCATAAAAAATAGCTTATATCTAAGCCAAGTTGGAAAAACCTACTTGTTTCTTAGGATTGGAGTTTCCTCCAGTACAAATGATCTAGCAGAAGATGAAGATTTACATTCTGTTTTAATTAATTTCCTTCTATGACCAAGGTATTGTGCTAGGCCCTGGCGAAGCAGATGAAAATAAAAAAGCCTGGGGGATAAGGGGCAAGTTGCATACAGCATGTTCACGTGTAAGTAAATATAAGGTAATTTGAGGAAAAAAAAAACAACATACTAAACTAGGGGGATCAGGAAGGTACCTGAGCTGAGCCTGAAAGAAAGCTTGGGCAGACAGATAGCATAATGAAATGTAATGAATGATTTCAGTTACATTAAATTAAAAAGATTTTGCAGAAATAAAACATGTAGCCAGGATCAGAAGAAAAGCAGAAAATTGGGGGGAAATTTTATAGACAGATTCTCAGATAAAGGTCTCATATCTCAAATACATAAAAAACTTTGTAAAATCTGTAAGAATGCGAGTCATTTCCTCAATTGAGACATGATCAAAGGATATGAACCCAAGGTTTTCTGATGAAGAAATCAAAACAATTTATAGTCGTAAAAAATGTTTGGGGCAGCTAGGTGGCGCAGTGGATAGAGCACTGGCCCTAGAGTCAGGAGGACCTAAGTTCAAATCCGGCCTCAGACACATAACACTCACTTAGCTGTATGACTCTGGGCAAGTCACTTAACCTCATTTGCCTCACAGGAAAAAAAAAGAAAGAAAAAGAAAAATGCTCTAAATCATTATTGATTAGAGAAATGCAAATTTAAACAATGAGATATCATTTTACACATATCAGATTGGCTAAAAGGATTGAAGGGGAAGGCAACAAATGTTGAAGGGAATATGGAAAAATTGGAATGCTAATTCACTGTTGGTGGAGTTGTGAACTGATCTAACCATTTTGGAGAGCAATCTCAAATTATGCCCAAAGACTTAATAAATTGCCTATGCCCTCTGACCCAGCAGTACCACTACTAGGTCTATTTCCAGAGATGATTAGGGAAAGAGGAGAAGAACCTATGTGTTCTAAAATATTTATAGCAGCTCTCTTTGTGGTGGCAAAGAATTGGAAATTGCAAGGATGCCCATCAATTGGGGAATGACTGAACAAGTTGTGATATATGATTGTGATGGAATACCACTATACTATAAGAAATGATGAGCTCAGTGATCTTAGAACAACATGGATAGACTTGTACAAAATAGTGAAGAGTGAAATGAGCAGAACCAAAGAAAGTTGTATGTTGTAACAGCAATATTGTTTTAAGAACAACTTTGAGCAAATAAGTCATTTTGACTGTTATAAATAACCAAATTAACTACAAAGGACTATGAAGGAAGATGCTTGCCTGCATCCAGAGAAAGAACTAATAAATAGAAGTATGTATAGAATGATTTTATACACACACACACACACACACACATTTATGTCTAATGATAGCCATCTCTAGGGTGGGGGAGAGAGAAGGAAAAAAAGAAAAAGAAATTTTGCATGCTAACTTTATTATGTATTTAAAAGGAATAGCAAATTGTGCATAATGTATTTGCAGTATCGTGTGTAGTCATCTTTTTATTATATTGTGTTATGGAAATTCTTGTTTTATTCCATAAATTAAAAATAAAATAAAAATTTAAATAACAATAAATTATAAAGCCAAGCATGGTGGTACACCAGAGAAGAAGAGGCTGGGGTATCCCTTGAGCTGAGGAGCTACAGTTGGCTAAGCAGATTGGGTGTCCATAGTAAGTCCAGCATCATTCAGGTGATCCCAGAGGAATGGGTGACCAACAGGTTGCCTGAGAAGGAGCAAACCAACCGAGGTCAGCAACAGAACAGGCCAAAGCTTCTATTCCAGTCAGTAGTAGATTGGGCCCATGAAGAGTGCTTGTACTTCTAGCCCAGTGATCTTTAAGATAGAGAGACCTACTCTTTCAAAAACAAATGAATGGAGAAGGAGGGAGGAAGGAATAGAATTTGGAACTCAAAACTTTTTTTAAAAAAAAGTTTTTTAAAAAAATTGTTTTACTATGTAATTTGGGAAAAAATAAAATATAAGTGAATGGATGAGCCAGTGAGTGAGCAGGCAATAGATAGATGCATAGATAGATGGTGACTTAGAAAAAGAAACAGAATTAGAAATGATAGGACACAAAATCTCTATAGAGGAAGTCATCTTAACTAGAACAAAATATTTTATGTGTAGAAATAAAAAGTTAGAAATATGAGAGGTTGGTAGGAGAAACCAGTGGAACTGATTTTTGGAATGTTTTAAGATAATTGGAATGTTTAAGATAAATGGACGTTTTTAAGATAATTTATATAGCTTTGTTTGAGTTTTAGTTGTTTCTTGTTTCTATTTGGTTTTTATTGTTTTGTTTTGTTTTTATTGCTCTGGACCTGTTACTTCATTTGGCCTTGGGAATTCTTAGTGAAAAAACTAATAGTTAGGTAGAGTTGCCTGGGGGAAGTTAAGTGACTTAGCTCCCTAGGTCTTTTGACCCTGAGGCTGGCTCTCTAGCCTCCATTCCCTGTGGCACCTCTCACAGTTATTTTAATAGTAGCTAAGTGTTTTCATGTTCTTTCTATTAGAAGAAAGTCAACAGCACCCAAAAGTTTAGTCAAGAACCAACATAGAATTTGCACATTTAAATCATAATGAGAGTGTAGATAAAAGGAATAAAGAGGAAGTATGAGTTAAAACCTGCTTATTTTTTTACCCATCTCTACTCACCTAAGTGAAAGCTCCTAAAAGAACCATACAGTAAAAGTCTGTATGTTTTGTGTGTGGGTGAGTGAGTTGGTGGGTGTTTGTGCATTCCCATAAAATCAGGGCCCCCAGCAGCAGCTGAGAGACCACATTATGTTCTGTGAACCTTATAATGGTGAGCAGGTTTTGACAAAATCCCCATCCTACTCCTTCCTGAAGGGGCCAAGTTAGCAGTGGGAGTTAGAAGCAGGTAATCATTAAAAGTCTCAAATTCTTGTGAGCTAGCAAGGGCCTCACACTGTTGGATGGGGGGCACCAGTATTTGCAATGCATGTAGCAGAAATCTCCCTACTCTTAGGAGGCCATATTTACAGAAATCTGACTGGAGTCCCAGACCATGTAATTGTAATAACAAATGAAAAAAAGTGTCTTTTTAATGTAAAACTGACAAGGCAAGGGAAATTAGAATAAAACCTAGTTCCTGGAAATTGAGTGGAAGGTTTTGCTGAATCTGTCCTTAAGTAGAACTTTTAGGTGTCTTTTGTTTCCATTACTTTTTTCTTGTTTCCCATTACCATCTGCTATCTTTTAAGTAATTACTTTAAGAATTACTTCTCCTCTGTCTCTCCTCCTCACCTTTGCCTCTTAGAAGTTTCCTTCTTTTCTTCCTTCTTGCTTAGTGTCCTCTAAAGTTGAGCTTGTGACACTTTCTGCAAGAAACCTTTCCTGATACTCCATCTTAGCACCTCCCTCCACCCCATTACCTTGTATTCGTTTTGTGTATATTTTGTGTTTGCTTATGTACATATCACCTCCCCCAATAGAATACAAACTCCTCAAGGAACTGTTTTCATTTTTGGCATTGGATGCCTACTGCCTGTCCTAGGTGCTTAATAAAATACTTATTGATTGGTTAATGTCAGTGGTGTGTTTTGTTCACTTAGAAATTGCCTTAAGAGTTAAATAAGACAGCACTTTGAAACTATCTTCATCATCTGAATTTTACAGATGAAATTATTGCAATGAAATGTTCTTTCAGTAATACCCTGATTTGTTGCCAGAGGTACTAATGGAGTCTAGGGTCCCTCTCATTAAGTCTGTCCCTGATGTACATAAGCCCTTCCAAGAAGGGAGCGCAAAATCATCCATGAAGAAGAGTCAGGGAGAATTTAGCTCCAGTCTTCTACAACAACATTGTAAATTATCACCTGAACTTGAGTTTGAATTATTATTCAGTCCATTCATTTTATGTCCTTAACCAAGCTGAACAGCCAGGAATCCTTAATGAGCACTGGAGTTAGAGAGTGACCTCCACTGGACCTCATTCCTGTGCTTGCTCAGTAGGGTCACCCTTCTGACATAGCGTTTCTAAGAGGAAAGAGCTGCCAGTAGTTCACAGAAGACAGTCAGTCTATTGGGGCAGCAAGGTGGCACAGTGGATAGAGTGCAGAGTATAGGATTTGGCCTCAAACAATTATTGGCTGTGTGACCCTGGACGGGTCACTTAATCCTGTTTGCCTCAGCTTCCTCATCTGTCAGATGAGCTGGAGAAGGAAATGACAAACTGCTCCAGTATCTTTGCCAAGGAAATCCCAAATGGAATTACAAAGAACTGGACACAACTGAACAACAACAAACAAAAAATTCATCTATCATTTATTTCTTCTTAGACAAAACCTTTATCTTTCTTTCTTAACGGTTAGCATCTGTTCTTTATTTTAAGGTGTCCATGTGTTAGTTTATATATTTTGCTAGTCAACTGACATTCTCAGATTCTAGAAAATTACATTAGAAATTATATATATTAAACATGGTATAGAAGTTGCATTGAATCAAATTTTGGAGTTGTAATTTGAGTTAGAAAAGGCTTTATATGCTTACAGTCATCTTCTAATAGAAAGCCAGAAACATCAATGGGGCTTCAAAAATGCCAGATGAATGCTTTTATTCCTGTTTCTCACCCCTTTTTTCCTTTTGTCTTGCCTTATGTTTGTGAAGCTATAAATTTTAGTTGTAGAATATAGCAACAGGTCCCTTAAGCACTAAACAGAAATAACAGTTCAAAAAATGTGGTAGCTATGAGACAAAGGAAGTAA